TCTCTCAGTACAGAGAGGCTTTCTGCTGCAGAATTCCATCAGAGAGACAAAGCTTAGCATTCTATTTGCTATGCCTTTGATGCATATGTTAGTAAATTACCTCTATGGGCATCCCATAAGCTTTTGAGACATGCAATGGGAATTCCAAAATACAGGGCCCATTTGTTTTGGGGCAATGGGATACCTTCCTATGTTCAAGTATTCTATGTTCAAGTGCTTGTTATTTATTTAAAAGGAAGTCTTAGTTGGCAGTATCTAATGGGACGTGCTGGCACAAACATGTGTGTGTGTGTGTGTGTGTGAGAGAGAGAGAGAGAGAGAGAGAGAGAGAGAGAGGTGGGGGGAAGTAAGAGAAAGAGATGGAATTATTTTGCATAGTAGTAACTCCACAAATGAATGTTCATCAATAAGCCACTGAAATCATCCTGCTTGACTTCCTGCATACCATCCAGCAATTGAATTTGCTTTAGTTTTCCTGTTGTATTCCACAAATATACAGCTAGAAGAAAGCCAGATGCCAAGAACGTCTGAAGAGAGTCACTGTTTCTGCTATGAGCTAATCTGGCACTAATTTCTTGTGCCAGCCTTACAATATCTGAACATGTGGCAATGTACATGACTGTGAGATTATCACACATTATCACACACTTCAAAAGTTAGATCCAGTGTCTACCTTCCCTATGAGAAAGAATACTACCTGCTTCTCATGGGGTGGGGTTGGAATCCACTACTCACCCCCTTCAACAGGGTGAAGAATTTTCAGGATCCTGGAAGACCTGTGGGATAAAGAATAACTCCACCAGTGCAGTTGACCTAGATCTACGCCAAGTAAGCATTTGGCTTCCTATATGAGAAAGACTTGCATGCTGGGTGTTTGTAATATGAGTAGTGAGCATTCAAAATCTAATGAAGCCACATGAAGAGCCCAACCAGGCAATAAGGTTAGTCTGCTACCAGTTTGCTAGCCCGCCTCAGTACCTGGCACCATTAGAACCACTTGTTCTCTGCTCCATTCCAAATCCTTTGAGTACACAGCCATTGTGAACAAATTCACTATGTGAGCCAAGAAAAAGCAGACTTCAGAATGGGATCTCTGCCCACTTGGTGGCCACATAGTTTCTGGAAATCAGTAGTGACCCATCTCTGTTCCTAGGGGTTTTGTTGAAGATTCAACAGCTTAGCATATATTGTAAGTGCTATAAAAATTTTGTTAAAGCATTCTGCAGCTGCAGGACAACAGTGCAAGCCCAGTAAAAGCAATATAAGGTGACACCACAATAGTACATGCATTTTTGTTGAATATGTAGACAACACTGGAAAGCAATTCCGTGAGACATCTCCTTGTTGAACACCAACCAAAGTTGAAGGAGTGCCTTTGAACACACAATTGCCATTTGAACGTATCTACGTAGCAGGGTCTGAAAATGCCTGCCGCTGAACATAAATAAAATTGATGGCACTGATCACAGAAGACATGCTGTGAAATTGAGGTGGAGTTCAGGGTCAGGGAGTTTAAATTAACCACACATATCCACACACACAAAATCCTTAGCCATGTAGTTTCTAAACTGACATCCTCAGAGAAGGGGGGGGGGGGGGGGGGAAAGAATCATGTTTTCAGCATAACAAAAAGACCTGACATCTTGTTAGCACTTTCCTCTCTCACTTGGACAAATACTTGCCCTCACACCGAAAGATCAATGATGTGCAAAGCCCATTCACAAAATTTGGGCCTCTGTAATACATACAAAAGCATAACAGCCAGAGACTGACATAACGGTCATTTTTAAATACAGGATATCCTTTTTAGAGCATTATTACGGCTGTATTTCAGGAAATGGGTCACCCATGGTAATAAGCTGATTCTTTTTATTGCACTGAGTCAAGCCGGTAAGAATGTGCATGTCTTCAAATGTCAAGTGAAATGTCTGAAGAGGTCAAAATACAATAAATCAAGATCAAGGAGCATGTTACTGTGTTTCTCGTTTAAAGAGTTACACATTTTTTTTAAAGAAAGTTGGGACTTCTGTTCAGGCCATTGGCTTTCACTTGCCCCATTAGTCCGTATTTTGCAGCCTGATTCAAAAAAAATTTTTGTTAGTACTTTGAAAAGACTCCTAAAGGGAGAGTCAAAATGGGCACAGAGGAGCAAGGCAGGCCAGGGAAGTGCTACAATCCGAGTATTGACCTGGCAGCTTTTAGGAGAGACCATGGCTCAGTGAGGAGCAGCAAATGCAAAAGATCACAGAGTCAAAGCCAGGTATTTCCAAACCAGCTGTAGTTGGAAAGTATTTTTGTATAAAATCCAGAGCACTGCCACCAATCAATGTTCTGAATACTAAGCTGGGTGAAACACTGATCTGATTCTACATTCCTATTTTCATCCCCAGGTGGTAGGCACTGGCAAGCCAGTGAAGGAATATTTCAGCAGAGCCATGGGGCTGTAAATGGCACCATGCCTTGAACAAGGTGCCCCTTCTGCTGTTGTGACAAAACTTTTTCTACATGAGGCTGTTAACTGGCTGTTAGCCTGTTCCATCAACTTTTGGATTCGAAAGATTTGAGATCTGAGCACTGTGCAAGGCATGTTTCCTTTCCTGCTTTTCCATGCTGCATTTTTCCTGCTGTAAAATAACTTGCCTAAGGTGTGTGTTAGATACAGAGGTAAAATTGGAGGCTCACAATGAACTCATAAACCATCAAGAGTAGGGACTGATGAGCATGCTATAAATGCTTTGTGTAGAAAATCCAAGGGCCCATGATTGCACTGCAAGAGATAAGAGGGAAGACTGGAAGGCCTGTAAGTACTCTTGCTTTTCTCTGTTTTAGTGACTTCACAAGTATTTTCAGAATGAAGGCACAGAGCAGCTTTTCCAGCCTGGTAGCCATCCAGATGTTTTGAATTGCAGTTATTATCATCCCTAACCATTAGCTACATTGGCTGAGACTAAGGTTTTGGACCTGTAGTCCAAAACATCTGGAGGGCACCAGATTTGGGAAGATTGAAAGCATATGAAGGCACAGAAGCAAAGGAGCCTGCCTGACACAACGTCTGGCTGGAGTGACAGTGGCTGTCCAAGGTCAGAGGTAAAGAATTTTCTTAGTCATGCTGCCTGAGATCCTTTATGCCATTCAGCCATTTAGGCTAAAATGTCTTCAGTAGGCAGATGACACACAGCTCTCCCTCCCATGCCCATCTACTTTCCACAGGAAGGTGATGGGACGGTTAGATGGACATTTGGAGATGTGGGAGGACAAACAAGTTCATTCAGGCAAAATGGATGAACTGTAGTACAGAAGTTAATCAGTCTGGATGGAAGTGTTCAACTGGTTCTGGACAGAACTGCACTCTCTCAGAAGGTTAGCAACTTTGCATCATGGAGATCTTCCTAGACTCAGAGGTACCTGTGGAAAAACAGCTGGTAAAAATGGCTATGAGTAAGTTATGAATGGAACCCATGGTGCCTGCTGCATTAGGAGTGACAGATTTTGCCTATCTCATGGCATGGTTACTTCCAGACTAATGTAATATGCTTATACAAGTCTGTTATAAAAGACATTGAAGAAGGTTCACCTAGCTCAGAATGCGGCTGCCTGGATGCTTTTTTGGAGGCTAACCATTTGGAACATATTATTCCACTTCTGTATCAGTTGCCCTTAGATGGGCTTCTCCAGAATTCCAGATAACTATGTTCTTCCTAAAAAGACATTTCTTTCAAATTAGCTGTGGAGTTGCAATTTGGGGAAGGCCCTCTAAACTGTTATAGAAGTTCAGTAACATAGCATTGCTGCTGAGTGCTGGGGAAATGTGGCTTCTGTTCAACAGATACACCAGCTAGCTAACAAAGCGTGGCCCTCCACAAGCAATAATAGTGAACATATAAAATGGTTCTCTGGAGAAAACCCTTTGTTTTCCTTTGGACAGGAATGAATATCAATGTCTCACATGGATGGAAACATCTTGTGAAGAAATATTAGCTTTGCATAAGCACTGAAAAACTATGGCTCTTCACTCTAGCATGGGTTGAGATTCTAGTTATTCCAAATAGATGAAACCACTTGCTACCTTGCAGTCTTAGACATCCAACACCTCCTTTTGTCCACAACTCTGATCACTTATGAAAAAGCAGCACAGAAATGCTCCCTTGTTAGTAAATCTGTGGTCAATAGGACTTAGTTACCTCTTCGGCTGATATCCTCTGCTATTCATAGATTTCAGCATTCCTTTGTGTACTGATTTCATATAAATTCACATTTGTATGAACTGACCTCTTCCCATCTCTCCTTCCATCCCACCCAAGACCATGAAACTGGAATTAATGTCTATATTGTGCTTAATTTACAGATTGTAATGGGTGCATCATAAGAAGATGGATGCAAAGCTGGCCTAATGGCACAAACATCTCAAGTTTATGTGGTTTGGGTGGCAATATTGTTATGGTGCACACAATCTGAGAACAGCATCACAGGCTTCCCTGTGGTATTGCAAGAGATCTAAGTTTGCACCGTTTGAGTCATGCACTACAGATACCTAATAAGCCCTAGAGGCAAAAACCAAACCAGGAGCAGAGCCTCATACTCAAGGGATTTATTAGAAGTGTGATGTATCCAGTGCATTTGGCATATTACAATATCTTCTGGCAATGAGTTCTTATTCTATTATCACAGCAGCAAGAACATCTTCATTGCAGCAGTTCACTGTGGAGTTCACTGTGCTCCTGAGGAAAACAATATATCAAAATTACATCACATTGTGAATATATCCCCTTCCTGTGTACAGACCTTTTGGTGGTGTCCTCCTTCTTTGGTGTTGTCCTCCTCCTACCTGTCTTGAGCTGGCCTTGGGTGAAAGAATCAGGGCTTCTTCTCCCACTTTAACCATGGTGTGAGCACTTCTCACATATTTTTCTCACTCATCTTTTTCCATGTTTCAGATCCAGAACGTGTTTGTCTTTCTTGCTGTGCCAATAGCCTCACAGATACCTTTTCTATTTGTTTAGGGCTCTATGCAAGATGAGCACAACATCAGCAAAGCCACCTCGATCATCGAAAGTCAGCATCACCACCTGCTGCACTGCTTGGAAAAAACAACTGTAAGTAGCAAAAGGAAAATGTCTGGCTATGGATCTTGCTCTTTGGGGATAATCAAAAGAAGGTGTGGGTTCCCATGGTGCACACCATACAAAAATATTTGTGTTGGGTATGTTAGTATAAAAATGTACTAATATATAAAAATGTACTATTGTTTATCTTCCGTATCTCCGGTGCCATATAAAGAAAAATGTGCTACATTAAGAAAAGGGGCTACTTTTCTCATGACTCAATACATCCATCAAATATTGAAAGAAAACTTCATCTGTTACAATGATCATTACAAGATACCTATTAACTGCTAACATTAATGATGGGTGAAGAAAGATCAAACGTAAGGTGCCATTAAACCAGATCAAACATCATAATGCCAGAAACCATTGCCTTTTCTATCAGTTCTCTGACTTTCCCTAATGTACAATAGCACTAGTTTCCACCATGTCTCTCTATATTTTTTCCATGGTTCCACCTCTCCAAAAAACACAGTTAACTAAGCAATGTTCCTTTGCTCCCATAACTTCCTAATTAGTTCTGCTCTACTGTGCTCTGCTCTAACTATGGTTACTTATTCCTTTCTCAACGTGTTTTTTTTTCACTTGAAAACTTCAGCCTTGTTCTCTTTAAAAGTTCTATCCAAAAGTTTGATCCCTAACTGCAGACTTTGGTGCTTAACATATTAATGCTACTTAGAATGAAAGGAAGATATGCTTGGGTTTTATCTTTGCTGTACATCTGTACACCTGGCTTCATTTGAGATGGCTGCAATTCCTCTGAGCTGCAATGGCCACCAATTGACAGATAATGCTTTGCAATGACAACAGCATTGTGTATTCAAGCTGAAATTATGCAGGTCTGTATCCAGCGCAGCACTACCATTAATACAACTGGCATTGTGCTGGTGTCAGTGACCTCTACTGCAGCACCAAGTACATTTGCTCCCTAACACTGGATACAACCCAATGGAAATCCTGTGAATGGAAGAATAGGACAATTGTCTGAGGCCTAGCAAAGGTCTCTCATGGAGGCGGTCCTCTATGTACCTAGCCAGTGCAAACACAAATCTAGTTGGATCCTCATTTGTTTCATATTGTTCATCTGGGCCCCACCCAATTGGCTAGATGGATTATTTGATGTGTATCATGATGTTCATCCCCAACCAAGCTCAGTGGGAGCTGGTTAACTTGCTCATGACTAATGCTGCATTGGAACCCATCTTTTTGTTGTCTCACTCTGCTCCCTTGATTCAAGAGGCATTGGTTATTATCCATGTTTGCTGCCTGTCCCTCTGTTTGTGCAGTGCAGCAGATCATGGTAAGCACAGGTAGTCCATGCGGGGCCAGCCCAACTCAGCGGTGGCTGAGGAATGCACAGCCCAGGGCTGACCTTGCTGCCATTCCTTCCAGTTATAGGAACAGGTAGAAGACCACAGCCATAGGCATGGCACAAGCAGACTGCAGAGATCGATGTGTTGCATGAGCATGCTCAAGCCACCCCACCCCACCCTCCAAAGAGAGCACTACAGAATGGCTTGGCTATCATCTCTGTGAGATGCTGTAACAGAAAATTTGAAGGTGCTTATACATAAAGAGGTCTGGTTGTGTCATTCTTGTTAGAAGTGAAGAGAAACAGCAGGGATGAAAGAGAATATTTGTCCCCAAATTAAAGGATGAAGGTTGGCATTCCTGAAAAGACAAGTAGGCCCATTTGATTTGATGCACAAAAGCATTCTTTCAAAATGGAGGGAAGAGGCAACATAACTAATGGAAAGTCTGGACTGGGATCTCTTCTCAGCTTACTTTGTGCTTTGGGCATAGACTATGCCTTTGCTCACACGCAACCTATCTGACTTGTATCAGATTTTAACAGTGTGTGATAAAAGAAATCCCACTGTGGCCTAACTCTGATAACAGTGAGTAAGGAAAACCAGTCCAGTTGTGATGAGCAGATGGAACAGTTCTGCCGTGGAGTGCTCAACCTGGCCATGTTCTATTCTGCCCCTGGTGCTTCAGTAATATTCAAAACAAAGACGTAGAAGGGAATAGCATGCAAAAAGAGCCACAAAACTATCAAGGATCGTGGTTGTATCTGGCTGTTTAAGCCAGGGTTGGTCTTCCAATGTTAGCTGTTGGATCATTTTCAAACTAATTTTAAATGGAGAGGAAGGAATGCCTTCAAAAGCTGATATGTTGTAATTTATGACTGAAGTATATTTGTCCTAAAGTGATAGGAATAAAAATAAATTAAGTACAATTTATCCACAATTTCCTGCTGAAATTCAAATAGAAATCAACATAACGTTGCATCAGGAGTTTGTGGGAATGGGATAGTCAGAGGTGGTTCACTGCAGTCTCAATTAGTGATCAATGGCTATCAGGTTATTTCAAAAGGTGTGTTGTCAACCTAACTCATCAATCATTTTCAACACAGTGATTGTCATTTAAGGACTGACATGCAGCATGTTCAGTGTATGTTTTTAATGCACCCATCAAAATGGTTCAATCAGGTTTTGTGCTGAAAATGCATGTCTTTCCCATTGTACATAACTGATCAATAAAGCATCACACTAACAAAATAAATTTTCATCATAGCCTTTGGATTCTTGAAACACTAAAGAAGTTATTTTGTAATGTCACAAAGTTGCCAGTGGAATGAGGAATGACCATACATAAAAAAGTATCAGGCAGGTTTCAAAGGGCAATTCACCTTTCCAAAAAGTAGGTCTCTTTTCCATGGTATTGTCTACTATTATTGAAAGTCAAGATTAAAATATTTGTGGTGTCAATGGTTCACCTCCAGATTCAACAAATTTGGAAAAACAAACCTGGGGAGTATTCATATTTAATTAGAAAGTAAATGCATTCAAATTGAATATATGCTCAGATGTTTCTTTCATAGTAATAAGCTTCCTCTTTGGTTGCTTCTTTATTTCCTTAGCTGCTCCAGGATGCTTCTGGATGGCGGGCTGTAAACTAAAAGAAGGTCTACATATTGCCCACATTTCATGTGCAATTGCACTTTCTTGGCTCACACACCTCAGGATGTTCCATCCACACAGTGGTGTGACATAGCCAAGTGAACAGTGCTGTCCCGTTTCCTTCTCAACTGCTTATGGCTAGAAATTTCCTAACACCCTTATCCCAGCACAGGGAAATCAAAATATTTTAAAAACATCTGAGCACCCATAAAAAGACTGTGTCTGTACAGTTAGACCTACTTATGTTTAGTCTAAAGTAACCATTGTGTTCAGTGGGATATTTCCTTGGTTTGTAAGCTTGAAGAAGCCTTTGGCACAAGAAAGCGCTGGCTAGAGAGCCATAAAGAACCATGAGACAAGTACATGATAAATTCCTTACTTAGGAAAGCTCTAGGCTTCATTCACATGTGATTCTGCCTACTTCTGGATGGAGGGAGCCTATACTGCAGTTCTTTTCTTCCCCTCTTACCAGATTTTACCAGAGTTAGAAAAAAGAGTTAACAGCAGTGGGAAAACATGGCCTGATCCTAATTCCATCTGACTATTCCATAAAATTCCCTGAATGAAGCAGAGCAATTGCACAATAAAAGCCTCATCTGGAAGCAGCCCTGGTATTATACAAACTAGTTCTAACCCACCTCGTGGTTTGTCTTGCCCAGCTGCCCCCATTGAATGGCATATACCTAATTTTCTCCCTACCCACTAGCTCTCAAAGGAAACCAACAGGACTTCCAGTCACATTGGGATAATATTATAGATGGAAGAGATGGTACACTTCAAAATATTTGAAAGGAAAGGTTTTGTTGCCCATTCAAACCTGTGTGATGCCAGATGGAATGCTGGGACTGAACTTTGGAATGCTGGAATGGACAATCAATGGTGTTTTTATCTTTTGTCGACATGTTGTCCTGTAGGGATTGTCCTATCTTGTGGATGATCCCCTGTTATCTGTACGAACTTCCACCTTCAAGGTATTTCCTTCTTAATTCAATCATTTACTGCAGTCTCTGTGCCATGTCTTGAGTGATGTTTCCTTCTTTGTTAGTGATCCTGTTCTTAGCAGATGGTGCATGTTGGAGCAATTTTGCTATCTGTGGCTTTGATGGACTGTTGATAAAATCAGCAACAGCATTATTTATCTTTAACACTTCTAGTCAGAATAGGAAATGATAAATGTGAATCTTAATTATCTGCATTATTTATCTGGATGTGGCACTTCTGTATACACTATGGTTTTATCCCTTTCAGCTTCTGTCCTTGTGCATAAGATACCATTCATTCCCCACCCATGCAAGTTCTGCATATATTTCTATCAGCCTATAATTAATTGCTGTTCTCTGTATCAAGATTGCAAATCCAGGTTGCTCTCCATATGCGATTACTATAGCATGGGAGAAGCCTGTTTTATGGTAGTTTGCTCCCAAATGGCACCCTCCAGATGTTTTAGATTACAACTTCCATCAGCTCCAGCTAGCATGGTCCATAGTTAGGAAGCATGGAAGTTGTAGTCCAACATGTCTAGAGGGCACCACACAGCAGAAGGTTGTCCTGTGCTTCATAACTTTCAAAAGCTTTGCATCTTGAGGATGGGTAGAGACAAAAGCAACAGGATGTCCCACCGGATTATCACCTTTGGTCTTGACCAGATGCCATGTGCACAGGGTAAACTCATGCCCCACTGGCAGGCTTCTGAACATTAGGACATCACTATAAGATGCAGCCACATGTAATAACTTAGGCTGAACCTTTCTCGCAATCTGAAAAATAAATGATTATGCATTGGCTCAGCTTGATCTTTTTTTTCCAGTAAAATTACAGTTCTGTGCTATTCAGCTAGGTTGATTGTAAAAAAAATCTATATGTTTCTTTTCCTAACCATGTTATTTTCACTAACATTTACCATTTTAACCACAATCATGCCTTGCTTAGCTTCTGTCTCAGGCCAGCTTCATAATCTTAAATCAGGCATGTCATATAACATTATATAATCAAGACATTTATAATACAGTATCTGTTTTTTCCCAATCAGGTGAACTCCCGTACACAATGTACCATTGTAGCAGCCCACTCACATTGGAAGCAGCTTGGCATACTCAAAAGACTGCTGCCAGAGGAAGCATGAGTAATTCATGCTTCTTCTTTTCTTGCTTTCTGTGGTAATGGGAAAAGTGGAGAGATGCATCCCCGTGGGGAAATGGATAAGCTCCACACATGACACACCTCTGTAGCTGACACATTTGCCACAAAGAAGGTACCCAAAGTTCCCCCTCCTGTGTGCTCCTTCTGTCATCATGACTTGCTTGAATATCCAGAGCTGGTCCAGATGATAAACAATGAACACGTTGCACTATTTGTTAGCCGACGTAGTTCCACTGAAACTAGCTGGTAGAAAGTGTCAGTTTGTTTAATATTACAGGATGGTTAGCCTGCAATCCTATGGTTCTCTGGAGGGCATCCCAGGGGACATAGGAGAGATTGTATCTCCCCATCTGAGAGCAAATCAAGAGGGCCACCCTTGGAAGGAGAGACCCAACCTTCAATGCTTTTTCCCATCCCCAACAGAAACCTCCAAGGCCATTGCTTCTCATTGCTGGAGTTCTAAAAAGGGACAGATCAGGCTGCATGTCCTCATCCGACTGGGAGATCAGATTCAAAGTTGCTCAGGCCTTCAGATTTATACCAGGCACAAGGTGGAAACTGTGTGGCAATCCTGGAGTGAGAGCACATAATTTCCCACCCATCACTTCCAGTGGAAAATAAGCCTTCAAAAGAAAAAAAAAAAAATCCCCAAAGGGAAAAGAAGAATACTCTGTGGTTCTTGTTCTTTTCCACCCTGCCAACATGAGGTCAGCAAGGAAAAGGTTGCTCCTTCTTAGGAACTTCCTGCTCTCACTGCCAGGATAGCTCTTTCAAGGTATGACTGTATTAGCACAGCTCGCTGCATTTTTTTTTCCATTTCTATTTGCTGATAGTGATGAAGCCTGAACATCACTTTTTCCTGCAAGCTACCACAGAAATTGTACAAGGCTGAAAGGTGTGACATAGTCCACGCAAATCATATTTTTCATTCCACTTTCTGGGGCAAAAGTCTCCCATTATCCCTTTTGCTGGTCATGACCTTTTCCATTCTCCCTTTCTAATCTTTCTTCTTCTTATAATAGTGTAGTTTCACTATATATCAATATTCCTATGCCACCTTATAAATGTCTGCTAACTTCTCTTACCATACCAAAATTTCTATAATTTCCAGTCATTTATTGAATCTTCCTCTGCCCCTGTTTTGCAAAACTGTGTATAAAATACATAAAGATACAATGATGAAAATTCTCTGTTTATTATCCTTTTAGTCCCACAGTTCTCTAATGAACATTCTTATGCATGAGAAATGGACAAAGAAAATGTATCAGACCCATAAAGCAATGAATGAAATGTGCCGAGAGTTTTGCTTTTTTCTGGAAAAATGATTGTTGTTCTAGTACCAGTTTTTAAACATTTCCCACATAAGCATTTCTGCTTCTCTTAGGATTGAAAAGGTCATTAACAAGCTCATGTTACAGCTCCAAAAGCAAAAGTATCTTTGATCAATATGGAAGGCAGCTGTATTGACCATAAAATAGCAAAATCCAAGAAAAACAATATTAGAGCAAAGTTTTATTAGCCCAACCAGAAGGATCACAAAATGTAGTATGAAATATAGTGTAAAATAGAGATGGACAGTTTGTGACCCTTTGGACGTTTTGGCTGGCAACTGCTATCAGTCCCAAACAACATTGTCAATGGTGAAGGATGATGGAAACTGTAGGCCCAAAAACCTGGAAAGCCACAAGTTGCCTACTCCTGGGTATAGGCTTTTGAGTTATCCAGAACATTTTACCAGCCTATATCCGTTTTCACCAACCTGGTGCCCATCAGATGCTTGGGATTTCAATTCTCATCATCCCCTGAAAGCTGTAGACCAAAACATCTGGAAAGTACAAGGACAGGTAAGGCTGGGTGAGAAGGTAAATAAATAATGCCAGGAAAGAAAAAATGGTGGTTGACAGCTCTAAGATCACTGTCTTAAAATGTAACATAGGACAAGGTTGCAGATTTTCAGATGAGGTCTCTCATGGTTCCTGGTTGTACCTGGAACCACCCCTTGAGCTGTTAATTTGTCAACATTTGTTCACGTGTACTCTTCAGTTTGGGATTAAATTTCCACAGAATGTTCCTTCTGTCTTAGACAGGAGCTGTTTAGGAGTACAAACTGCAGCAATACTTTGCAGTTATATTCAGAGACATGTTCAGGAGTAAATGATATGCTACAGCTATACACTAAAGGAATTCCATCATACTAGATAGAAATGCCATAACACTGTTCCCATTGACAAGTACATTTTAGACCCTGAAGAAAATCCTGGAAGCCTGTTTATAGAATCAGTTGACATATGACACAGGGTAGCAGTCCCCAAACTCAACTTATCCTGTGCTTTACACATTCAAGGCATGAATCAGAGATTAAAGTTAATTTTAAAAGCAGGGGGTGAATAACTCTCAGCATGATGGTTGTGATTCTTATCCTGAACATGCAAGTAAGTGATCAGGTGAACAATGGCACAAAATGTTCTCCCTAGTGAGTATAATACATAGAAATCAAGTACTTGGTGACTGTTCCAAGGCAACCAAGCAGGCTCTTTGGTTTAATAATTAGTTTGGCATTCTTGTAAAAAGGAGTTGCAACCCAAGGAAGAAAAACAAAATCTAAGAACCTAATCTTTTATTTACTGTGCATATCATGCCACAGTCACATGTTGTTCTTTATCTGCACGGCCGCATATGTATTAGAAAAGTGAAGTAAAAATCAATTACACAAATAAATTACATTACACATTTAGAATAGTTTCAGCTGATCATATCAGTTGAAGTAGAGGGCAGAGATTGAAAACTTTAGTTTTCAAAACTAAGAGCAGTTTCAGAGCAGGCATGCTTCTATTGTATGGTGCTCTCGTGCTGGTATATCTTTTGCTCCATACTCATAGGAAAGGATGCATCATCACCTATGGTCTCTTGAGAGTGCTTTGTGTGTATCCCCTGAACCCAAAGCAGGCTTGCACACCTTGTGATCCACCAAACCAACTCGGCCCATCTGAGTCTGGAGTTACAGAAATTAGGGCAGTGCCTAAAAGACAATGTTATGTGGTTGTTGGGTTAGATTTGGCTTAGTAGGTCACCACAGGCCTGAGTCAGCATGTCCCAAGCTTTAGAAAAGGGACAAGTCACTACTATCCTCCAGACATATTGGACTTTGACTTCCATAATCCCTGACAATTGGTCATGCAGGTAGGGCTTATGAGAGTTGTAGTTCAGGACCTGAAGACAGCCTTCTGCAACTTGACAACCGAGGTTAACTAAAGTTGGCAAGTTAGTCAAGAAAGTCTGGGTATTGTAGGACTTTTTCCTGTCTAAACTTGCATAGAATTATGTCCTAAATCAAACTAACAGTTAGTGGGATTCCCCCTTCCTGCCCCAAAACAAAGTTTTAATAAAATACAAGGGTGTATTTGAATCACCATTTCAAAATCTCTCTCCTATTTAAATATTGCTTTTATAATTAAAGTAGGAAAAAAGTTTGGTAAAAGAAAAAGAAAGGGGTTTTTTCCCCCTATCCAGTTTTAGCTCAGGCCTGCACAATTTCTGATGCAAAACTAAATGAATCCTGCTGGACACATATTGCACCCTGCCTGGGCCTGCAAAAACCTGATGGTCTGTTTTTGTGATACCAACCATGCAACACAAAATCATGTTTGTCAAGAACATGTGAATGTAAGAAAAGCCATGCTGGATCAGACCTAAGGTCCATCTAGTCAGCACTTGGTACACATGGTAGCCAACCAGCTGCCCACATGATCCCTCAAGCAAGATGGAATATAGAACTAGGAAACACCATCATAAAATATCTGGCTTAGGCAGTAGTAAAAGCCTATAGTGTTAGGCTTTTAGTACAACCCAGAACAGACTGGTAAACCAGAGGGAAAACTCAGAGGAAACAGGCTGCCAAGGCCTTCCTAAAACTCATGTGAGGGTTCCCCAATGGCAACATATTTCAAAGGTGTGGTCCACTGCTGAAAGGCCCACCTGTGTGCCATCAGAGCCTCTGACTCTGATGTTAAAATGTGATAAGGGTGAATCCTTCAAACAATAAGTATATAAACAATACAGCAATAAAGTACTATATAACCAGGGTTTTAAAATTAACCATACCCACTTATTTCCAGCTATTTCTACCCATGGCAGGCCAAATAAGAAAAAACCCATGTATCTTCCACAGCTTTTATGTCACATGGACCACCACTTGTAGTGAAAAGGCAAGTCCTCAGTTGCATAAATGAGGTGAAATTAAAATGTCTGGGCTCAGTTACGGGCACATCACACGGAAGGAAATTTCCCTGTCATGGGGCAGCCTTCGAGAATGTTTCTAGTGTAACCCTCATGGTACAAATGCAGGTACAGATACTTGATATACTTAAAGTAGTCCCTCTCAGAATGTACAAATGAGGCCATGTGCTGGCTGAGTGACACTCAGGTAAAAATAGGCAGACTGTGAGGTGACAGTCCATTCAGATTTTATGAGAAGCACCACCAACCAAATGCACAAGTTGCTTCTACATTCGCCTCTGGTGGTGACACTTCTTCCTGCTAATGCCTGAGAGAGAACCAGAGCAGAGGAAATGTTTGTGCTACAGATGTGGATGCAACTGGAACATGTGTCCCTCTGTAAATGTGCTTTTCAACATTACAGGTTGTGCCATCAGTCAAATGCTGTCTGTGCCAGATTCTTTGCACATTGTCTTCCAGAAAACCTTCCCATCTTGGTCAGTAGTCAGGAATCCTGAGAGTTAAAGTCCAAAACATCTGGAGAACTACTTTCTGACCATTCTGGTATCTAAGGCACCTTCAGAACAAATACATAAAAGCCCTCTTCAGATAGTTGTGCCAATGGATGGTGAGGGTGTGGGGCTTTCAAAAATATATTGGGGAGTTACTGACATTTGTTGATGTTCTTCCTGACAGAACCATGAGTTCATTGATGAGCAGATGTTTGAGCAGAACTGCCTGGAGAGCTCAATGCAGAATTATCCGTCCACTCGCAGCCCCTCCCTTTCAAGTCACCAAGGCATAACCACCTGCTGTTCTCGTCGCAGCAAAAAGACGACACATCTCCCTAATTCCAGCGTGCCAGCAACCCGGCTGCGGAGCATGCAGGAACTCAGCACCATACACATCCAGTGCAGTGAGCAGCCCTCACTCACAACCAGGTACAGCTGCGGGTGGGCAGGGGCTTCATCTAAGAAACAGGGCATATGTTCAGGTGCTACATAGCCAGGAAGGGACAAGTGATTCTGGGCAGCAGTTCTGCCACTCTGGGTTGGCCTGGGATTCCAGATGATTTTCCAAAGGAGTCCTGCTTGGTCAAGATTAGCAGTGAAGTGCATTTTTTGCCCAAATCTGGAGAAATTTCAAACTCAGTATCCCACCAGGGAACACTGAACATTTGTATGTTGGGTAGGGCACCTTCATGTGGGATGGTGGTTGTCTCGAACTGCAATATTGCCACATCAGCAGGGAAGCAGATGGCTGGTAATCATGAAATGAAGCATCTACACATAACCATTTCTCCAATGCTACATGCAGTAAGCTTTAAAATGGCTGACACATGATGATCAGACATCTTATTCTAGCCTGTGATTTTTGGCAAGATGGTCTTAGGGCAGTCCTCACAATTTGCTATCTCCTGGAAACAGAACATGAAGAGCATTATGTCTCTGGACATTAGAAGAGAACATCATAAGACCACTTCAAGAGGCCCAAAAGTGCAGTAAAATAAATTTACACATTTAAACAGGTAAAACCATTGTATGGCTCGGCCAACTGCCAGGAAGAAGAGAACAAAGCACCTGCTTTTCATGAAGGAGATTCCAGTTAGGGTCATATCTTCAGATATGGCTGCAGAGATTCTGACTGCTCCCAGTCAGTAGAGACAATACTGAGTTTGATGGACTTCTAAGTTCCTATATACAAGCTACTTACCCTGAAGGCTGTACTTCTGTATAGGAACACAGAAGTTGGACTGAGTTAGGCAAGGTCAGTGCTTTTTTTGTAAAAAAAAAAAAAAAAAAAATGGTTCCAGAACTCACCTCTTGGGGTCAGTCACTCTACACACACATAAACATAATGGTCGCCACCAGCAGTAAGCACTTAGCACACGACCACATGACCGATCCCAAGCCGAGCAGCGCCCTCACAATCAGCACCGACACACAAGCAGCCTGCAGGCACTATCTAAATGAACCTGCTACGCCCAACAGGGCGATTCACAATCACTTGGAAAAATCCATCAAAAAAGGGTGCCGGAACACTGTTCCAGTGCGTTCTATGACAAAAATAAGCCCTGGACAAGGTATTATGTACTAGATTTTGATTTCAAAAGCAGATGAGATCTAAAAGAAAGTTTCAGCAGAAGGTGGTCAAATATAGGAAAGAGAAAAATACTGCTAACATATGGTTGGCACAACTATGTGATAAGCAGAAATTTAACAGATGCAGCTTTTCTTGCCAGAGAGGTGCTATGCTGGAGAAAGCTACACCTGTTGAATTATGCCTATCATGAGGCTGTTAAAGTGCACCTATCTGTGTTGGCCTCTTGTTCAGTTAAGAAGTATTAGAAAATATATACTGATTTGACTGTAGATTGTATGGTTTTGCTCAGAAGGGGATGGATAGCATCTGATTTTCATCCCTTATTTATAAAAATTTCAGTGGTAAAAGAAAATCACAGTAACATTTGGAGTGATTTCTTCCTTTCCCACTGAATTTGGTATTTATTTGGGTATCAGCTTCAGCTTATGAACAGACAGGCAGGATAATACCACAATACACCTTACATTTTGGTTAAGTTGTCTCAATCTTTTTTGCTTTAGCTTGTCCTCTCTTTTAAACTTATTCAACTTTCTGGGAGCTCCCCTGCCCAACTGTGAGGATCAGCAAGTATCTTTTCAGATAATTATGTGTGTGCAACTTGATTCTATGTGCAAAGACCTGTGGAACAACACTTGCACAATCCATGCTAAGAAAAAGGGGATAGTATTAGTTCTCTGATCTCCTGCATGCAAGGAAACCACATACAAGGAAGCACTACTGGAATACAGCACTAGTGCTCTTCAAATCAATTCAAATGACAGGGACTGTTACCCATACAAACACAATGTAAATTAATGTGGATACTCTGAATGCTAGCAGGCATTCAGTCGGCCCATGTCTTGGTTGTTCTATGTGCTTCAGGATGCTTCTTCCCTCTAGAACCTGGGAGAGAAAGGATGCGTCCACACATCACAACAACCCACCCTGCAAATGAGCTACACATGTAGACAGCCCTTTCAACATGCCCAAATATCACACCGGAGGAACTGTCACTGGATCACCACCATTTTGTTTATATGCCCCAAATATAATGAACAAGTTTGTAGTCAAGTCCACATGTGTGCACTTTAAGATGTCGGAAGTGACTAGCCTCACCTTGTCAATTGTCTTGGCAAGTGTCCACCATCAAAGTGTAGCAAGCATCCATCATGTATTTTGACCCAGTGCGACTATAAACAGGTTTATCTTTAACTTTGTTTCTCTCCTGACTGCTGTTGAAAGGTGAGATGTCAAGGGAAAGCTAAGCCATGAGTGGTCTTTGCATGAAAGAAAATGTGGCCAGTAGATCACCCTCCATTTATTTTGGCTGGATCTGACACTTGTCTGATCTTTTCCTGAATGTGCTCAGGAAAGGAATGCTATAGGAGCACGGGGCATTGACAGATAGCTGTCAAAATTCAGTCTTCCTTTGACAGTGAATTTTTTGACAGGGCCAATCAGTGCTTTTTCACAGGGACCTATACATGTCCTGTGCCTTAGTATCAGTGGGGTGATTGACACTGCTTGTGGCCAAGACAAGCTAGCCAAGAGCAGCAAAAGTCTTTTGCCCCTCTTGCTATGTGGCACACTATCAATTTCCCTTGACCACCAGTGGGAATTGGTCATCTGGCTTCAGATGAGACACCAACCCATTGCAGACCCAATAACAGCTAGAGAAAGCCATGGGATGTCAGGATGGCTGTTGTCTGTGAAGAAGCTACACTGTGGGAAGCAGTACTGGGTTCTCACAACACAACAGCCACCTGGGATGGGTTGCGATGTCATAGGCTTTCATGTCATGGAAGTCACACATTTTGAGGCATTTGCACTCCTATCTGAGCAGTTTAAGAGCCACTGATTCGGTCTGAGTTTGAGCTACATTTATGAATCTCACTTAGTAAAAATCAGTCATACTGTCTAATGGCTTCTTACATTTCTCACTAGCAAATAGATCCAGCTTTCCATGGGCTAGAATAGCCCTTAGCTTGCAACACAAAAAACCTTCAAGCAAGTGTATGATCCAGTGATGTGAATCTTGACTCTTATTCCAAGAGCAGGCACAATCAACATTCCCAATAATTCTGCATCTCTGACTGCATCTTAAATGTTATAAGAAGTCAGTGGGTATCATACTGTGATTTCCTACAATGATTGAGATTTCAAGAGGGGATCAGCTTTATGAGTCACTCAAAAATTCCAGTCAGGATTTCAAATTAAAAGAGTTCTTTGTCTTTGCAAAGGCCAGCCCCCTGTGTTTTTAAATGCTGGACTCCAGCAGCTAGGCACTTGCCTGGAGAGCAACCTTATCATTGCCATTCCATAATTAATCATAGGCAGTAACTGAAGCAGATCTAATAGAAACGTTTCTAGCTGACAAGTCCTCAAGACTTCTGCAGTGAGACACTTGCTGGGTAGGAGAGAGAAAAAACGACAATGAGATAGCCTAGAATATCTGCATGATGTAGAAATGCAAAGCTATTTAACAGTAAGGCTTACTTAACCATTGAGTTGAGTATTCAGCTTCTCGACTCAACAAGACTAGACTGCCTGCTGGAGCTTACTTTTCAAAGTGGATAATGAATCTGCTTGTTCAGCTATTGGAGCTTTGACTATTGGAAGGTATAGAAACATAATAAATGAAATCAAATGCTCTCCCTTGTTAAGGTCCCCTTTGAAGTCTTTCTGGATGACATTCATACATCCATCAAATAGAGTAGGGTTGGTCACTGCATCCCCTTTTTTAGTCGATGGATTTAGAGTGGCAACCTTTTTAGATACCTTGCTTCTTTCACACTTGCCTGGTCAGAGATTCACTAATGGGACAAGCTGAACCAGAAATTCTAGTCTGAAGTGAGAAAATACAAAAAACTTTTCTGGACAGGAATCCCCCAAATGCTGTGTTTTGTTATTTACATCTGACTTTGGGAATGCATCAGCGCTATTACTACCACTTTATCAAGCACTCATGTTTGTCTCCTACCACACTCTAACTCCTACCGGTTTTATTTATTTATTTATTTATTTACTTACTTACTTACAGTATTTCTAGGCCATCCATCTCTTCCGTCTCTGGATGGCTTACATTCTCATATGGGGTTCACTGTATAGGTTTAACCTATTTTTTACATCTTCTCGCAAAGACAGAGAGCATATATTACAAAGAGAGATGAAAGAAATTTGTTCACTTTGTATTTTAATGCAAGCTCATGACATTTCACATTTTAAGACCAACACACACACAAAACTTGAGTTACTCTTCAAAAGTCACTGAATTTTGCAATTCATTTAAAAATGTAATGTGGTTCTGTTGAGCAAATAGTTTGCAAAACTGTGTATACTAGGAAAAAGTATATACTTTGTACATGTGCCAAGAAATGTGCAAAAAATGTGTGAAAGTGTTCAGGCAAGCTTTAAAAAAATTCTCAGTGTTTGGAAGACTGGAAAACTGAAATAAACAGGTTCTTCTGACCCTACTTATAAGTATATCCAAACCTTGGAATGAGCAGCAGCTTTAATCTTCACATCTCCTCCTTCAGAAATCCTTTTTAAATGCCTTTTGTCTTATAGTCGCTCCAGCCTAAATATGAAATCGGATGATGGGCTGAGACCGAACTGCAAATCCTCCCAAATAACAACAGCAATCATCAGCATCCCGACACCCCCGGCACTGACACCTGAAGGTGAAAGCAGGCCTTCCCCCTCCAGCCCTGGCCATTCTACAAACATTACTGCTGCTAGCAGCAACATTGTCAAGGTATCGGCTTTGTAAGGCTGTGTTGGTCAAAGGGGGCAGCTCAGACAGCCAACATTTGTTTCCCTTTCCCCACCTCCATGTTCCTTCTTTGCTGCAAATTGTGCCTAGATGGATGGCTGATGGACAGCTAGACCAACCCGACCAACATCTCTGAAATAATCATGGAAGCCAAATGGGCCAGCTTCCTTCAAACTCACTGTTCATGCTGCAGAGTGAGCTGAAAATAAACTGGAAGTTGGTAGGATGTGGGGGGCGGTGAAAGAATCTCTGTGTATAAACCAGAAGGAGCCTCAATCCAGGGTACAGAGCAAAGAAAGTGGGAAAGAAGTCCTGTCATAGCTACAAGGAAGTCAATAAAGAAGCAGAATTATAACACTGTGTATCTCAGCACCTTTTTAAAGGTTTTTAATGGATAATATTTATTCATGTGGAAATGACTGAAAAAGGTGACAAAATAGATTTTGTTATTCCCCCTCCATGCAGCAGGATCTTTAGTCAACCAAAACCACACATTTTCTTTCTTTTATAGCTGAAGGTGTAGAAAAAGCCGCCAACTTGTCACAGGAATTTAATTTTCATCCTTTTCTGCGTGTGTGCATGTGTGCAAGCAAGTGAGCAAGAGAATCACAAAACTGGCACACTTCGACTTCAAAATATCTGAGCACACTTTCCTGTTTCTGGGCTCAACCCTGCAAAGACGTACTGTTTGCATGGTTCACAACATGCTTCAAGTAATGCCTGAAGAACTACTGGTTCTACCCACTGTGCATCTGTTCTTGCATGTCTTTGCAGGCTTCAGCCTTTAGTTTGCAGTAGCAAAGCAGATACCTGCATGCATGCAATCAAACACACACAGGCACCAATAAAATTCTCATTGTGTTTGGCATTTTTTCTTAAAATGTTTTTGTAATTGCCTTTAATTCAACACAAATTGCAGTTGCAAACAGTGTATTTGTCTGCTAATTATTGTCTGTGGAAAAAAATCATATTCATGGGGGTGGGAAAAGACAGGCTTTGGTAGTATACACAATTTTTTGCTTTTTTAAAAATTATTTTGTTATCACTGGCTTGTAAAGAGTGTGACTAGATTAACTAGTTCTGTATTTTTAAAAGTTTAAAAAAGTAAGCCTGGGGGGGATTTAATTTTTTTATCTTGTACACAAATTTCAAAGATAGCAAAATCATTCAAAACAACTGCGCAGGATGTTTAGAAATACTTGGTAACCTATGCCCATGTTTTTCCCTCTGTTTTATATGTGTTTCTTTGATAGTAACGGAAGTGTCTCCCAGTGTATAATAGTGGATCCGTCCTTGGCAGGATCACTTGAGGAGCCAAACATTTTGCATGGACTGACAGCGTGTCTCATTTTGTAACGCAGTCCTATGGCTCTTACTGACAGCTTCTGGGTTGCATCAGCTTGATGGATAGAGCAATTTAATGATTTCTGACTTTCCCTCACTAAAGCATCATTTCCTGTAAGAGAGGAGGACTGCCTCTAGATTTTGGGGTTGTACTTTATATTAGAGTACCATTTCTAATCAATTTATAAAACACAGTTAATAGATGTTTTAAATAATATGTATGTTTCAAAATAGTTCACCAATTGTTAAATATTGTTATACTGTTTAGAAAGTTTAGGACTGTGGGTTATAACCATCTTTTAGGTTTTCCATCAATGGTCTCCCAATGGATTTTCCCTGGCTCCAACCTGTATGAACTCCATCCATGCTGACAGGCTTATACTAATGCAGAGTTCAGTTGATTGTGCCCTTCTTTTGTCACAAAGCTGAGTAATTCATTCCACTTTTGGACTCATTTAACCTTTGGTGCATACATGAGCAATTTGAAACCTCCAGATTTTTTAGCCTACAACTCCCATCATCCTTCATCATTGGCTGCACTGCCTAGTGCTAATGAGAGTTGTAGGCTAAAACATCTGGAAGAATGCCACAAGTTGTCCACCCCTATTATAGTTTATGCTTTGTCCCTTTTCCAAACATGTTTTAGGTTGTTCACATCGGATTATCTTTTTCCAGCCTTGCTTTTATTTAAAACAACTACTCAAATCTATAGCCCAGATTATTTTGCACTGGAAATTGCATTACTGTGAAAAAAGAGGGAGACGAGGGGCTTTACAAACTCATCACAATGTTCAGAAAATAAACAGTTCCACTTTAAAAAGTCATTTTCAGATTTCAGGTTTTCCTTTATTACCATGAAAGTTGCAGACACTGAACAAATAGCCTTTACAGAAGAAACAAACATACAAGGGGAAAAAGAGCCAACTCTAGAGTAGCATACCTTTTAGCCTGGGGCATGGAAACTCAGGCCTATGTGCCAAAACCAGCCTTCTTGGAATCCCAAATTATCCATTGGTTCTCTAGAAGGCCATATCCCCTTTTCTGGATTCTTGGTGATTTCCTGACTTGTACCACTTTTCCCACCCCTGTAAGGCTGAAATATGCCTCCTAAGCTCAATTACTAGCAGTAAAAAAAAAAAAAAAAAAAAAGCTAAAATATGCTCTTTTTACATCTATCCTTCCTGTTTTGTTTTAGCTCTGTGCACCACTGGAATACAGTTCTTGAAGACTTCTCAAAAGTTGAATTCAGCCCTCAAGCTGAATGAGGTTCTATACTCCAATTTAGCTAATCTAAAACTAAAACTGTGAGTAGCATATGACCACCAGCTAACCACAGCCCCATTTCTATGTTAACTGTTTACTCAGTAATTTTACAGCACAATATTTTTTCAAACTGGCTCTCTTCCAAGAATCCATACTATTTTGAACTAGTAAACAAGAAATTCCTGTGCATCAACTACTGGCACACTGAGTACAGGATGTAATTTCAGTTCATGTAAGATATTGCCAAATCAGTTGCACCCAAACTGTGGCCCTGCACTAAGTTACTGTGCTATTTAAAGCATTCACTTGCGTTGGTGTCTTGTAGGAAAAGAATAGTAATGGTGGACATTCTGTGAACCTGTCCATTACCAGGCCTTCTTCTCAAGTGAGCTCTGATAAACCTCAGTAGGGCTGCAGAATTCCAAATAATAATGTTAAAACTGGTATTCTAATAACATGAGACAGACCTTAATTTCTGCCTAGACTTAGTCCAAGACGTTTCTTTCAATACCAGGGCTGTCTTCAGACTAGTGAAATATTACTGAAGAAGGCTGTTCCTTGGAGTCTCTTCAGAGTAGTGTGTACCCACTACTAAGTCAGTCCCACACACCTGGGAAAAATACATTTCTGGGCCTGAAAATGTGGATCAGTAGGTAAACTTTAGCCCTGGCAATCCAGTTTTAGAACTTCAGCACTGCATGGTTTTTGAGTCCAACTTTTTCATGACTGCTCTGGTGATTCCACCAAAATTTGCTCCACTATGCCAGTGAACTCCATTTTACTTCTGAGATCTCCTTTGTGTTACTGGTGCACAGCCTATGACAACAGACCATCAGGCTCACTGTGATGTCTAATCTGAATAGTCCTTTGCTTCACCTGACTCCACTACACTTTACTAGACCTTATCAATCAGCTCCTTCCTTGATTGCAGCTCGATCCTCCACTATTTTTGACATACTACAGTGACTTTTCTTCTGTACAAAAGAAAGCTAAAGAACAAGACAATTTGCACCACAGTGCATTTCACACCATTAGTAGAAACAAGCAAAGTATGGTGTAGGACGTTGGATTACATACCCACTAGAAGAAAAGTCTGAGCCTATAAACCCACAGTCCAGCTCTTTTATAGAAAATCTTTCCTCCAAGCCCTTACTGTCTCCCAAAGCCAATGAGGAACTGGAGCTCTTAACTAGTCCAAATGGCCTGTGTTTTCCCACAGGATTAGAACATCTCTAGCTCTGCTGCTTCCTTGCAATGTGGCACAACCCTTCTTAATGCAGGACCATTGCATAGAAATGCTAGTTTGCATCAATTGTTGATGCCCTGTGCTTATAAAGAGACATTGAGCTGTGTATGTTATTACTCCATTAACCACTGCCATCCAACATTGCCATCTGTAATGAACAGCATCTGCAGAATGCTTAAGCTCTTGCCAAGCAACATTCATCTTGCCTAAGAGATGCAGAAGTTCTAACAGTCCCCATCATCTCCATACCACATTAGACTTTTAGCTTGCAATACTTGTACAGTTAGTTTGTTAAAATCTCACTGACTTCAATGGAGTTTAAGTAACATTGGTGCAAATTTGTAGCCTTGATCATTTTTAATCATGGCCGGCATCCAATGTTTTACCACTGTGAATTGAAGGACATTCCATTTAGCTGAAAATTGCTTTCATGGAAAGTGTTGAAAAGGGTTCTTCCATGAGTGCAATAATCCTTCCATGAGTGCAATAACCTTTCTATGAATGTAAGGTCCTTCTGTTCAGGGAACAAAATACTGAATAATATCCAATAGCTTTAGTCTGAGGAAGAAAAAAGCAGCAATAGTTTGATGATCTGGTGGTTGTGGAGAGAAAAAAAGTCATTTTCCTGTCATCTACCACTTTGGCCTCATAGCTAACTACAAGCAGCATGTTTTCTTGATTTCCATTGCCTTGTCTCACAAACCCATTGGTCCTTTGTCTTTTCCATCTGGCTCTGCAACTTCATTTCTTCACATTATTGGCATTGGACTTGACAGTTTACTTTGTACAACTTTATTATTTTTCATTAGCAGATTGGTGCAATTAATTGAGTTGGGTTCATATAAGTTGCACTTCAATCTCATTGAAATCAGATTGCTTTAAAGTAGACTTGACTAACTCGTCGTATTGAAACCAATGGAACAAAATCATGACTAACTTGTTGAGTCAAGCTGTTGTCCATAGAGTAACACCAGTATAGACCTTGTGTTCTGCTGCTTTGCATTTGTGGCATCCTGCCCTGTAAGCATCTCACTTGAGCACCAAATTCTAAAACTATACTAATTCCAGTTTTACTAGTGTCAATGGCCATGACCCAGACCTTCCCTTTACATCTGCAAAGAAACAATGAGGTATGGGAATTCCA